GAAACATCATTAAAAGATAGATATATTTTTCTTAGGTACTTAATCTTTTGTTTATCCAGAATATCATATCTAATCTCCAAAGAAATGGAGGAACAAGTTTGTATGTATTTGCATTAGAAGTTGTAAATCAGTCATGAGTGGACATGTGGAACACTGTCCAGACAACTGTGTCTCTAGACTACTGTGTCTACAGTATGATGATGTATAGAAAACAGTCTGCTGTAAATTTACCTAGTAAATATCTCTGTTATTAAAATTCAGATTTAAAGTGCAGATTTAAAAATTGAATGTAAAAATTGTGATCAGGTAAATAACATACTAAACTTTTCTGTGGTTAACGTTTCATTTGTCAAACACCCTAAATTTGTTAAGTTTTAAGTTTAGCATCTGGATGAAATTATCCTAAAATAGTATCACAATCCTGAGATCAGCAAATTTTAGTTTTGCCCACAGCTCTTTTTTTGTGGAAAAAAAGAAGAAGAAAAATGGTCACTGGAATGTATTTTTCCATTAGATCTAGTTCATTTAAAAAGCAATGAGATAATAATGAAATATAACTAAATAAACAGATAAGTAAAATTACAATCTACTATGACAGAAGATTGATTTCTTTTGCATGGAAATTAAGCACTACTGATTTTGCTATGCATCTATCATACTTTGATGCATGACTGCTTGCTGTGGTTGTGTGGTTCATGCTCAGCAAAAAAAACTTGAGTTATGACCAAAACCTTTTCTGCTTCCCTCAACTGCTCTTTAATTTATATTGTAGCAATACAAAAACAGACTATTTTTCTAATCTGCTAATAGGGAATAGGTGATTTTTCTAAATCATGTATGTGGTGGTAGAGAAGCCCCAATATTAGAAGCAAGTAATGAAATAAGAAAATATAGACAAGAATGTGTGCTTATACTCAGGTTGAAGAAGATCTCACAATTCACACAAGATGTACTGAAAAATATGAGAAATATAATTTGGTTCAAATTGCAGGAAGATCTTGGAATGTGAGAATCCAAGAGAGAAGTGTTGAAATGTCCCACAAATGATTCTAAATATTTTAGGCACAAGCTTTGGAGACTAGATAGAGATGAAATGATGGAATATTAATAACCTACAGGATATTTCTTCTGCTCACTGATCACCACTAAGGGTGTAAGAGATTCCAACAGGTTACATAGTACCACATTTCTTCTGATCTTAACTTACTAATTGTCTTAGTTAGGGTTTCTATTGCTGTGAAGAGAAGCCATGGCTATGGCAACAATTCTTATAAAAGAAAACATTTTATTGAGACTGACTTTATACTTTTAGAGGTTTAGTCTATTATCATCATGGAGGGAAGCATGGCGACATGTAGGTAAACATGGTGCTGGAGAAGGGGCTGAGAGTTCTACATCAGGATCAGTAGGCAACAGGAAGTAAATGCTACACTGGGCATGGCTGGCTTGAGCATCTGAGATGTCAAAGCCCACCCCAGTCGACACACTTTCTACAAGAAGGCCACACCTCCTTATAGTATGAATCTTTATAGGCCTACTGGGCCATCATTATTCAAACTACCACATTAACTAAAAGGTGAGGGTGGATCTTTGTAGAAGTGAGAAAGACATAGCCATATGGTTTGGATGAGAATAGCCCCCATAGGCTCATATATTTGAATGCTTGGTCCTTAGTTGGTAGAAATGTTTGGGAGGATTAGGAGGTGTGGTCTTATTGGAGATAGCTTAACACTAGGGATGGAGTCTGATGTTTCAAAAGAATCCTGTCATTCCTGTTCTCTCTCTCTCTCTCTCTCTCTCTCTCTCTCTCTCTCTCTCTCTCTCTCTCTCTCTTTCTCTCCCTCTGTCTTTCTGTCTCTGTCTCTCTCTGTGTCTCTGTCTCTCTCTGTGTCTCTGTCTCTCTCTGTGTCTCTGTCTCTGTCTTTCTCTGTGTCTCTGTCTCTGTCTCTCTCTGTGTCTCTGTCTCTCTCTTATTTAGAGATCAAGATATAAACCCTCAGCTACTGTTCCATTGTCATGCTTGCATGCCTGCTTCCATGCTCCCTGCCAAGATTTTCATGGACTCTAACCCTTCAAAACTGTAGATCCCAAGTAAGCCCATTGTCTGATAAATTGGTGTCTTATCACAGTCACAGAAAAGTAACCAAGACAATTCCCTAAGACAATTCTGCAATTTTAGCTCAAAGATGGTTTTAAGGGGAGAGTAAAACACAAGCAAACAAAAAATATGATACAAAACATAACCTTTTTCCTAAACTAATCCTTCTTTTTAAATTTTGTATCACATTTATTTGTTTTAGGGACAATAACTTATGAGAATCACTTTTCTCCAGTAAGTCCAGTAGACCCAACATTGGTTGTCATTGCTGGCAACAAACTCCTTTATCTATCAAGGCACCTAGTCTAGCTAGCTCTAAACTGGCTTTTTAGTAGGGCACTGGCTTACCCAGAAGCAAAGCGGTGAAGGAAAAACTGAAGGGCACAGCTTGCTGACAGTGGACCCTAATACAATAATCTGAATCAACTTAGAGAAAGTGTAGGCAAAGAAATGAAACATAACAACAAAAACTGAACTTGAAGCTAACCACGGTATCATATTAGCACTGTTAACTGCTGAAAAAAAAATGCAAAGCATCAACTTCTAACTCTGAACCTCTATGACTATGTGTTATCCTGCACTCATATGCACACAATAAAGTTTAAAAATACACTTGCAATCACATTCTGCAATAAGGGTCAGGCATGGAAACCATTCACTCAAGATTAATAGAGAGAAAATACTGCAATCTAAAACTTTGACAAGAACTATAGGTATACAAAAAATTAAAAAGAAACTGAATATTAGAAGATGAAACTTTGAGTAAGTAGCTATATGAAACAGAAAAAAATAGAATGTCTGCATGCCTTCACCAAATATTGAAAAGTCATTAACAGTATGAAACAAGTCAAAAAATGTATGAGTTTTACATACCAAACACAATCAAAGAAAATATATGGAGAAAAATAAGACCAGTAGATCATTTGTAATCTGTCAGAGCCATTAATACACAAGATATTCTTTTCTTTTTTGGTTGTTCTGGACAGGTTTCTCTGTGCAGCTTTGGAGCCTGTCCTAGAACTCACTTTGTAGACCAAACTGGCCTCAAACTCACAGAGATTCACCTGCCTCTGTCTCCCGATTGCTATACAAGATATTCTAGTAGTTATGTGGAAAAGCAACTTCAAAAAATTCTATGAAAAATGGACAGCAATAAAAATATTGAGATAATAAGAGGACAGCCAAACTGTGGAGGATGACAAATGTGATTAACATGAAGACAGGATTTTGTGGGTTTGCTATGTTTGTTTACATGATTTTTGTTACAAACGTGCACTAATGTTTTATCACAGCAATGAAGAAAAATGTACTAGTCTACACACACCAAGATGGAAAGATGGTAGAGGATGTTACAGAAAGTTCCAGCCATACAATAAACCTAAAATGTTCCTTTCTGGAATGTTCTAAATCCACTCACTCCAGTGACTCACGAGAAGAAATTGTAGGACTCTTAATATCATCCCACTGCAGCAAAGACTCACCACAGGGACAGAATGAGGTTTAACATCAGAAAAGCACCTGTGGATTCTGGAGCTGTTAATTAGAGGGCTTTATATACCTGCTCTCTCCTCTGGCATGCAGAACACATATGTGCCCCAGGAAAATGCAGCAGCACGTGAAACACTATGTCCAGAAATGCCTGCTTGAGACTGATAGGTCAGGAACATTACTGGGAATGGTCACATACACATCGTTCACTAATAAATACAACTCTAGACTCCAAACAGAAAGAAGTGCTCTCAATAACTGACAGTGTTGGAATAAGCAGCACTAACGTAGCAAAACATCCTCACCATTTAGTGACAAAGTGAACATTCCAAAGCTATGTTAACCTGCACCAGCCAGGGGTCAACTCTGTAAGCAAGTCCTTCTAAAGGGTTTGGCCCTACCTCAGTACATTCTACTCAGTTCCACTCCAAACTTTACATTCAAAAATAGTCTTCCTTTTTTTCATTGACAATGTTGTAAGTATGTGTAATACGTTTCTGTAAATTAAATAATGGATTAAATCATCAGTGTGTGTATAAGAAAGCATGGGAGATAGGTGGATATCCCCTTAATAAAACCTGCCTTGTGGCTGGAGAGATGGCTCAGCAGTTACACACCTTCTGCTCCTGCAGAGGGCTCAAGTTCAGTTCCTAACACTCATGTTGGACAGTTTACAACTGCCTGTTTTTACAGCTCTAGGAGATCTGACACCCTTTTCTGAACCCCTAGACACCCACAAACCCAGGCATGTAATCACACAGAGACACACATCTACACACATAAATAAAATTAAAATATTTTAGAAAGTAAATCTGTTTTTTTTTTCCTCCACTAAAACATTTATGGGGAAATATCTCTATACACTCAGTGTGAACTGTGTCCCAGGTATACTTTAATTTTGGTGTTATGCCTTCTCAAGTTAAATCCTTTTGCTAGAATATTTTCACTGAGTTCTAAGGGGAACTTGAGGTCATTCTCTTTCTGGTGTCATAGGTGATAAAGTATACAAGTTGGAATCATTGGCAGCAACAGGTGGTGTGCTGTGGATTAATTAGCTTTGCAAAGAAGTAAAAGAAAGATCAATAACAGGAAAAAAACAGTGTTATGTGAATCCAGGACGTGGTATGAAATGTGGCCTAGCCCAGTTGCAAGCTTGCCCTTTTCATCTTTGGTAATTCATAAAAATTCAGTATTTTCACAAATTTTGAAAGTAATCTATTTTCTTTTGCTCTCTTTAATTTTTTTCTTTCCACAAACATTATTTTTATGAGTTCTTTGAGAGTTTCAAATGATGTACAATGTGTTCTGATAATATTCACCCTCTCTCCTACTCTCCAAGATCAATCCCCACTTCCCCACCCAACCAACTTTGTGTCCTATTTTTAAAACCTTCAAAACAATTTATGCTGTCAAATATTATTGGATGTGTGCTTTCTGCTGGAGCAGAGTCAGCTTCTCAGGGGAGTCGCTCCTAGAGAAAATGATCTTTTCCTCTTCCAGCAGTAACAATTGCCAATGGCTGCTCAGCCTGAGTTGATGTCCTTCCCAGCTCTCAGCTGGAGCTGATGTCCTTCTCTGGCTCCTCAGCTGGAGCTGATATCCTTCCCCATGATAGGGTCTGGTTTGTCTTGGAGTTGTCCTAGTTATATGAATGTGACAACATCCATGTCCCTGGGAGTTCATTGGTGCCACTGGCCTGCTCTAGCCACATGTTTCTGTGTCGCCATCTATCACTTCTGGCTGTTGCGCTCTTTCTGCCGCTTCTTCTGCAATGATCTCTCAGCCTGGAGAGAGGGTGTGGGGTATGTTCCGTTTGGGGCTGAGCATTCTTTAGTATCTTCTTCTCTGTACTTTGTCCAGTTGTGGATTACTGTGGTAAATCATCACCCACTACAAGTAGAAGCTCTGCGGAGGAGGGGTTTAAGAGATGTGGGGATAAGTCATTAGGGTCTTTCAAAAGAATAGTTATAACACAATGGTATAAAAAGTATAATGAAATATGAAGGGTTAAAATGGTTTGATGAGCTAAGGAAGGATAGAGGACGGCATACTGTAGGGGTAAAAAAGACTAAAAACCATTGAAAATGTCATAGGGAAACCTACTACTGTATAAACACACACACACACACACTGTGTGTGTGTACATACATAAAAACAAATATTTTGTAAGCTTTTATAGATTTATTTTATTATCTTATGTTATGTAGATGTGGGGGGGGCTGAGTGTATTTATGGGCACTACAAGTTGGCTGGTAACTACAAAAGCCTGAAGAAGGAGTCAAATACTCTGAAACTAAAGTTACAGGCAGGTGTGAGCCAACTCGTGTGGGTGCTAGAAACTGAACCTTAGTCCTCTATAAGAGCAGCATGTTCTTAGCTACTGAGCCATATCTACATCCTCTCCTTTGTTCTTATAGTATTTTACAGTGACTTTCAGTAATTTCAAACTATGGAAAATTTCTAAACATATTATGAAAACAAATCATTTCTATTGCATATACTTTAAGTTTTATTTTTAGCTATTTGCATTCCCTTCTTTTTTATTATACAAAAATATTTAATTGGGGTGACTCATTTACAGTTCAGAGGTTCAGTGCATTGTCATCATGACAGAGAGCATGGTGGCACGCAGGCAGATATGGTTCTGGAGCAGCAGAGTGCTATATCTTGCAGGTTACAGGAAGTCGACTGAAACACTGGGTGGTAGCCTGAGCATTGGAAACTTCAAAGCCAGCCACCACAGTGACACACTTCCTCCAACAAAGCCATACCACTCCAACAAAGCCATACCTCCTAATAGTGCCACTCCCTGTGAGATTATGGGGGCCAATTGCAAACTACAATATTCCACTCCATAGCTCCCATAAGATTATAAAAATTTCACTGTACAAAATGCATTTAGTCCAACTTTAAAAGTCCCCATAGTCTATCATAGTCTCAAACAATGTTTTGAAGACCAAAGTTCAAAGTTTTTTCTCATATTCATGCAATCTCTTAACTGTAGTCACCTGTAAATTCAGAATCAAAAAGCAGATCACACACTTCCAACATATAATGACATAGGATATACATTATCCTTCCAAACCACAGGGAAGGGAGCAGAGCAAGGGAACACTGGACCAAAGCAAGACAGAAAACCAGCTGGGAAAATTCCAAACTCTGTACCTTCATGTCTGATGTCAAAATGCTCTCCAACTCCATTCAACTTTTATGACTGCAACAAACTTCTTTCTCTTCAGCTGGTTCCACTCCTGTTAGCAGCTCTCCTCAGCAGGTATCCCACAGCTCTGGCATCTCTAACATCTTGGGTTCTCCAAGGCAATGCAGGCTTCAACCTCACAGCTTCACAAAATGGCCTCTCTACTAGGCCTCCATTCAGGGACACCCTTGACACATGCCTGCCCTCAGCAACTTTCCTTAATCTCGGGGGCAAATTCTATAACCTAAGAGATATTTCACTTATTCTCTAGCTTAAATTTTTCATTTGTAAAAATAAAGGCATTAAAACCAAGTGTAATGGATCATAGTTGTAATCTCAATACTCAGGAAACTGAGGTAGGGGCATTGTGAAATCCAAGCCATCCTGGACTACATAGTAAGACACTGTATCTATGGCAACAACAACAGCAATGATGAGAATAAGTAAGGAAGTTAGACGTTGTTTACCGTTCCTAACTTGGCACTGGGGATCAAATGGAGAGGTTTTTCATTTGTGCAGACTTCAGGCTACAGACTTGCTTTTTCTTAGTTAGGTGTTAAAGTTTTCTACTCCATAGTTGAACTTGCAGAGTTTTGTGACTCTCAAGCCTATACTGACATACAGCACAGCAGCAAAAGTTATTTCTAAATTGGATTGGGGCTGGATATAGGTCATGAGTAGAAATGGACTCAGCGTTCACAAGACCTGGGGTTCAATCCATAGTATTAAAGAGAAAAAGAAACTGAATTGAAGATATATAATAACATATATGATCTAATTGATCTATATTTCAAATGCCATAAATAGGCTAAATAACAGATTTGTTTTTTAAATATTTTTATTTATTCTTTGACAGTTTTATATACATACATAGTGTACTGTGGTCATATCCAGCCTCTCACCTCCTCTTGTTCCACTCTCTCCTGCTCAAGCCCTTCTTCCAAAAAGCCCTTTCTTACTTTCACGCCTTTTAAAAACATCTTTTTATCCTAAAGACTAAAAGTCAAAACAGTATTTGAGGCAAAGAAAAATACTAAATGACATGTAAACACCACCAGTGAAGGGACAAAAATATTTTGTAGTTTTTAAAGAAAATTTTATTGTACAAAAGCAAGTCTTTTACAGAAAATAATATTGAGCAGTCATGTATGAAGAACTCACGGATTGTTTGCAAATGTCTATTTTGTCTTTTAAAACATTTCTCAAAGATAACAAAGCTTTTCCAGCAGAGCCTTCCAGAACTCTAGCTTAGAAGATAGCCTGTGAAGTTCAAAACACCAAAGAGACAGAGCTTTCTCCTCCCTCCCAAGGGAGGGAACCAAAGAGACAGGTCTGCCTCCTTGTCTCCCACAAACCCGAATGGTGATCTAAAACTTTCATCTGCTGATTGTCTTTCCTCATCAGCTGAGCCCAACATTAGCAGAGCCTTCACCATAGGGGGGGGGGGGGAAACAGTGCAAGCTTCAAGGCAAAAGAGAACTATCTTGTCTTCTGCACATGTGGCAATGAAACATACTCAAACATAAAAGTGCAGACATAATAAATATTCAAGAGACATAGTACAAAGAGAGTAAGATAAAGCCCAGGAGCCACTGTATAGCAAAGGACACAAGTTGGTATTCGGGATTCAGGCTATCCAACGTATTGCTGTGACTATACCATGTCATACAGCCTCATCTTCTGTATTTTTTAAAAAGAAGTACAGGGTACCAGACACAGTTGTAAGAATGAGCAGTATTTACCCATACATGGAGGATATTGTAATATGTAGAACAGGGCACTAAAGAGAAGGAAGCAATTTGTTCAAATCTTTCTTAGCAGTAAGTTTCAAAATCAATTTTTAAAAACCACAGTTTGACATATTTTAATGGAGGTTTCTCAAAAAGAAAAAAAAAGAATCTTGAAGTTTATTTTGGCATCAGGAAGCACAGACACCAAGAACTAAGCTACTGGTGCTTTAAGTAGCTATTCTAACAGTGTTCGTCTCTTTCTGTCTAGTCACATGGCCACAACACACACTTTGAAAGCTGTATGCATCATCTTGCCAGCTGAAAGAGTCTTAGAAACAGCAGGCAAAGGCAAACTCAGCAAAGAATCCTCCCAAGGGCAGCAGTGCAGAATCCACCTCCCTCTCTCTGTGCTCCCAGAGAGACATATTTGAACACCTCTATCATTAGAGAGAAGCAAGGGCCTCAAAATCCATGACCACAGGGACGTGCAGTTCATCTCCTGTATAAATGGCTTCCAAACCACTGCCTTTCCACTTTTTATGAGTTCATAATTCTTGCTCCTTTCTGGTGTTTGAAAATTACGTGCAGATGTTCTGGTTATCTACTGGTATGTCAGCAATTATGCCAAGAAATAGTGGCTAAAAAGAACAACAATCATTTCATTTTTTTTTTCTCAGTTTCTGTGGATCAGGAATTCAGGAAGAATTTGGATAAGAGGTTCTTTACCAACCTCTCACACAGTCACAGAATGATGCTGTTTGGACCTGGTTCAGATGACTGCCTAGGTAGTTTGTAAACAGAGTCTCATGATTACTCATGAAGTGTCCACATTGAGTAGTTTGAGCTTTCCATCTGCATGACCCTAATAAAACAAAACTTTTCACAGGGAGTTAATTGTTTTCACACTCTGACTATGTAACAAACTTCCCCAAGTGGCATCTAACAAGGAAAATCATTCTTTTGTTCATGACTGATTTTAAGTTGTGTGATATTTACTTCAAACAGACCTGTCCTGGAGAACTTCCCTTTAAAGTGGATGCATACATAGATGATATATTAGTGTGGGATGCAGAACTCAGAACTGTGGATCTGGGTCTGCATGCCAGCCTTTTCATGGTGTTCTTAGGCTTCCTGGTAACACTGTAATGTAGTATATCTAGCATCTAAGAACTAGTGTCTTTCAAGTAGAGAATTTTGTGTCTTTTTTTCCCAATCTTGTAAGTCATATTGTATCCCGATAGTATATAATGCATGCTAGAAAAAGGAACAAAGCTTTACCTCTTGAGGGCTGTATAGCAAACATTGGGAATGTTGGTAAGGACATCCTGAAAAACATACTTTGCAATATATTGGAATTAGAAATTTTTATATGGAATCCTTGAGGCTGCATATATTTCAGCATTCAAATTTCTCAATATTAGACAGATAGTACAGTATGTGCAATGTTTCCTCTGCAAACTCCTAAGGAAAGTCAGAAAAGCAACACTAATTAGCAAATTAAATGCTGAGTAAAGTAAAAAAAAAATACAAAGAGTGACTGGGAGAAGAGACAAATAACACTAAGGATGTTTGATAAAGCCTCAAGGAATCATAATATATATATATGTATGTATATATATATATATATATATGTATGTATGTATATAATGCCAATTGGACTAACAATGTTTCCCAAAGAGCTCTTGGTCAAGGCAGTATAAGTGACTTCCCCAAACAATGTAGTCTATTTCTGTTGCCCTTGGTTGCCTCTCAGAGGCTGAAAGTGAGTGCCTATTGCTGAAGACACCACACACAGGCACACACACACACACACACACACACACACACACACACACACACACACATTGGGCATAGGAGTCTGAAGATTTGAACAAAATCTGACCTAAAAGCCTTATTTCTGCAATCTAAGTTTCATAGCATCAAAAGGTGCTGTATAAGCTGCCAGGGAAGGGAAGCAAGCATTCAATAGTACCATC